TCAGCTGTGGTTCCCTTCGGCCTCTGAACTTGCGGATGGTGTCTGTGTGGGAACCCAATTTTGTTTTAGCTATTATGAAAACTATTTTGAGTGGTGTCTGAATGTTGATTTTGGAAATTTCTGAAGGATTGTCTTCTGCTCTCCCTGAGGCATCTACGTGCCTCAGCTCGAGCTTTTAAATAATTTATTATGTTTTCTGCCGTGCTGTTGTCGACGGCTCTTCGATATGCTGCCTTCTTTACTGTATCATCACCCTCCTCAGAGAACCAGATCTTGTTCTTCCGGGGTTTTGACGATGTTTGAGGAATGCATTTGCAGCATATTTCTTTAAGCGTTTCGCGGAATTTGTTGTAGTTGAGGTCAAAAGTGGGGGTCAAAATCTGGGAACATTCAATGGCGAACCCGTCCTAGTGTGTTTTTTTTAATATGACGCGTTCTAGGATCGGGTCGTTTTGGAGGCTAATGTTTGGTGGGGTTTTTTGGTTATTTTTTAAAGCAAAAAATTGGAAATGATCCGTACGGTCATCCAGCACAAACCACTAAGATCTGGGACTAGGTCATGGGTACAAAAGTTGAGGTCAAGAGAAGAAGTGTCAAAAGTGGATCTGTTCCTGTAAATTGGGGCCCTATCGTTCAAGATGCAGAAGTTATTTTCAAATTTAAAAAGGGGTGTGGGTATTAAAATCACCTAGCAAGAAATGGTTTTGGGAGCTGGAGCTTTATATCTTTTAGTTGAGTTGTTTTTAGGGGGTAATGGGGTGGGATATAGACAGAGCAGATCGTGATTGGTCTGCACAGGGTGACCCATACGGCAATAGCCTGGAGGGTCGTCCTAAGATGTACTTGTCTGTGAAGTGCGTTGTAGTCGGTGAAGATGGTAGTTCCACCGAAGCAATCTGGTTCCCCAAGCAGTAAATCCTCTTAAGTTGAAGCCGGGGCGAACTTTGTCTTCTCGATACGGGTCACAAGTGGGCACAGTGAGGCCTCAAAGTGTTGCAATCCTGCAATGGAAATCAAGAGTCCGTCCGCATTCCATTGCAGGACTGCCATTAAGAAGCTCAAAGGCCCCGGCTTCGAAATATTCTGACTTCTCTTGGTGGGGAAGGCAGAGGGTTTTCTAGGCTGCTGTCCTAGATTGGGCGCGCTGTAGCCTACTGGGGGAACTGGGGGATGAGTGACGGGCTCCGCCCTTTCCAGGGACAGGCCGGGGAGGGGGGTCGGAGCTGTCATCCTCCATTGGTAGGCGGGTGTCTACTGGAGGGGTGGGGGAGGTGGAGCAGACGGAGGGGGTTGGGAAGAGGGGAGAGAGGGCTGGGAAGAGGGGGGGGAGCATCTGACAAACCATCAGAGTGGTGGGGTGTGAGAACGAAGAAGAAGAAGGGTTAGAAGAGGGCCAGGGAGCGAGTCACAAATGGCGGGCAGACAGTTTTTACGGGCCACCTGAAATGAGCGACTATTTCGCACTTTGTACTCTTGAATTGCGCGGTTTTGGATCCATGCTGAAGACTGTGTGATGGCCGTGGCATTTGAGGAAGCAAGGACTAGCCTTGCATTCCTTTTCAGGATGCCCGGTCTTGCCACATCGAGGACACACGGCTACGCGTCGGCGTTGCAATTGGCTATGGCCAAACTTCTGGCACTTGAAGCAGCGCAGAGTGTTCGGCACCTAGGGTCGCATGTCGAGGAACGAAGGAACTGAACGGTGGCTGGAAGGCGACACGAATCAAAATTCAGTATGATCGTATTCGTTTCGAGGGTGGTCTCCCCTAGCCGAAGAATAATCCAACGGGCGTGGGTCACACCCTCGCAATTTGCTACAATTTCCTCCATGCTGAGACCTTCGGTTCATGGCTACAGACGTCGCCCTTCGAGCAGTTCAATTTCTCGTTCCCAACGGATGTACATGGAATACCTCCAAAGGTCGTGGTATTCAGGAGTTGGCTCACTGCTGTTTCTGCTGTACACTTGACATGAAGTGCACCACTTGACAGCCTAGGTACATTTGTGGAGATGTATCCCAGAACCTGCCGTAGAGTATCTCCTGTCTTGAAAATATTCAGATCTGTGATCATCATCTGTGCGTCTTCTTTGCTAGAGATGGTCAAGCACGGCTGCCGCGAAAGCTCCCTGGGAGGAGGGAAGGAAGAGGCAGCGGTAAAGTTCCGTTTACTGTTGGAGGTTCATTTACTCTGCTCGCCGGCCGTACCCACTTCCGCGAGCAAAGATTTTTTGTTTACGTTGGGAGCTGGGGAAGGGTCTTTAGGGTGTTTAGATTCCATGGATGTCTTGGTGCTGATTCGGATCTGGGGCTCCCCACCCGTCACCGAGCGCAACAACGGGGTTCAGTGCTCGGATTACCACACCTGTGCCAGGGCTACCCTGGAGCTATACTTTCCCCGGTAGTGTACGAGACCAACAAGATTGACCAAGGGCCTGAGGGGTTTTCAACTCCCAACCGATTGAGTGGCATGGGCCGTGCTACCCTCCTGTCTAAGTGGAAAACCTTGACAAAGAGGTGTGTTGGTGACGGATAGTCTTCAAACTGATCTCATCTCAACCGCCAGATACCCGGTTTCCCTCCGCACGGGTCGCACATCAGAGTCAACGAGACACCCGCTCTGTGGGATGAATGACCTCTAGTTTTGCTGCTCATGGGGTCAGCGGCGAAAGAAGAGATAGAAGAAGAAAGGAAGAATTGCAGGAGAAGAGGAAGATACGCCAAAGTACCTGTCGCACATGAATCTCAGAGGGTTAGAGTCCGTGTGCGACTCTTCGTTGTTGAAGGGGTTTCACTTCCTGCAGACGGGCAGTGGGTTTATTTATAGTCCCTCAACCCAAAGGGGGGGGGGGGTAATCTGTGTATAAGTTGTTTGAAGGTTATGAAATGTTTAGCTGTTCTGTGACTCATTTCAGCATATGCTTTTTTTGGTCTTAAGGTAGGTCATAGGGTATCCAATAGGAAACACGTTGTTCTTATAATAGGTATCCACAAAATATATTTAGCACCGACCCAAACAAAAGTCTAGATATCATGACATTCTCGCATAGAGAGATTGAGATCTACGCTCTTTGGTAATATATGATTTTCTCTTTCACGGAAGAGGTTTGGGCGACCAGAATCTGGGTAATCAAAATTTGTGTTTCTCCCTTAATCAAATTCTCTTACCCAACGAAAGCGAAAAATTGTGTTATACGAACAAGCAGATTCTTCACAAACGCATACACATATAGAAAAAGACGTTTACTTTAGTGAACTGCATCTTGTTTCCTACTGAGTGCAAACCATCCCTTGTTTTTGGCATCAGAAATTAATCAACAGTGACATCACCTGAAAATCCGACGGTTAGTTCAAAGTCTACTTGTTATAGATTAATTAATTTGCGTGTATCACGTTTTAGACTCAAGTTAATATCTTAAGTGCCATACGACAATTTCAATTTCCATTACTGTCTGATCAACCCTCGTAGTGTATTGAATAAAATATCTTTCAGGCCCGCGCTCGTCACTCGTTCAATTATCCAGCTCACTTTGAAAATAGTTTGATGACCCCTTCTCTCGATTATGACGATTGTTTTCTTAGATTATTACCCACTTACAGTAAACAAGATGTCACTGCCCTTTTGACCGTTGTCCACAATTATTTTGGTCCGGCTACTTAGTTGACTTATTTTGAATCACATATTTTTCATTCATATACCGTCATGCACTTCTCTTATTCTACCCATTGCCACCACTCTTCGAAAAAGCTATAGATAACACCAGTTTATATTGTCTTTACGTTTTTAGCAAGCTGTGCACCCCATGATCATTGAATAGGCACATCCGTTAGACTTTGTGTCTTCTGTAAAGAGACAGATAAGGCAAACTTGATTACTGAAGGGAAAAAATAACCCAAACAGAAAAATACCATATAAGCAAAAACTAACGAACAAAAGGTCCGAATAAGCAACGCCATTACAACACCCCCCACCCCACATAATATACAGCAAAGGCTCTGAACCCTATCTTGGTCCAAAGACATGAGTAAGCACGCCTAATTAAGGATTTTAAAAAATGTTACTCCCTACTGTATTATGGAGAAGAAAGATGGAAAATATCATGGACTACCGAGAGAAAGTTCCACTATGTCCGAATGAGATGCTTTAAAATAGTTTTTACCTGTTAAGATTGACTTTATCACTTCAGAAAAAATTCTTGAGACTTAGGACAAAGTAGTGATAGAATAAAAAGTGACTTGTAAGAGATGGCGTTGGACCAAACAAACGTAAAACTCGATGACTAGCATATTGAGACACGTGCTCAAATGGAATCTTCATTGTGATAAGAACAGGATGGTCAAGTATGACAAGACTGACAAAGCATAGGACACAGCTGAATAAACTGGACGAAAACGCTGGACACACTAGGAGAAAACTGCCCTAGACCAACAGCTCTGAAAGGAACAAATCGATTACCTGTACACCTAAGAGAGAGAAAAGACAAGAGATGATTAATAACAGAAAAAACAAGTGTCCAGAGGCGCTTACCATGAGATTATCATATCATTACGGTTGGAGGAAATGATTTAAGAGTCAGCACATCATTTTATTTTCATTTTATCTGATCAACCTATTATTCCCCCCATCCCAAAATCAGGCGGTTTTCTCTTTTCTAGAGTACACTTTGACCGATGATACTTCATGACTTTTGGGAGATGAAGAAATAACTAAGTTTCCAGTTTGATTAGAGATTATGTTCTTATTTCATCGATTGCATTCAGATGTCTGCCCAGGATAATGAAATGTTACTATTACAGCTCTCCACCAACAACTTCAACCAGGGATAACAATGAGCGTATTTATCGACTTGGCTGAAATGATCTCTCAGAACAACAGGCTAGTGGGCGGTGTAAGAGCAAAGCAAGGTCTCAGGGGAAAAAAACAAGAAACAAAATAAAACAAAAGGGCAAAGCCTCTTCCGAATAACTTTTTCAGTAGGTGTTCGAGCTACAAGTAGATTACCGTTCTTCGTCCAGCGACAACTTGCCTCCCTTAGTCTGTGTCCCATACTGGTGGGGGAGCTCTGACCCAGCGCCAGCTGATGAGTAGGCGATTGAGGGTTCAGTGCCGTGGTCAGGAGACAAAACAGACACGAGCTGACCGATGGACAATTTTGTTGACGGGTCTTCATCCGCCTTCGAAAGACCCCCTGCGTTCTTCTGTGGGAGTACAAGAATACCCCTGGGCATTAGGAAAAAAAAACTCGACCAGGTGAGATCTTCATGTGACACTGGCCGCCTTCTCAGTCAGATCGTGAGTTGCCACACCAGTGCAAAGGTTATGCAGATTCAAGATAAAAAGATGTCGGTCATGAAAACTAGGACGTTCATTTTAAGCACAAGGAAACACATGCCGAATGCTATTACTCACTTCTAATCCGTTTTGAGCATTGAGTTTAATTTCCAGCCGTATGGTTTTTTCCATGACAGAACAATTTTGTCCAAATTTTCGTTTGGGGGGCGTAAAACACTTAGGAGCAATTAAAATGAATTTATGCCCCTGTGTTCCTGGTCATGCTTGCACTGAATTGAGGTTTCTACGAGAGGTTAAGTTTTACTTTGCGAGCTATAAGGATAATTATTTCACTAAATATATGGGGTTATGTTAACTTCAAACCACTATCAATAAATGATCATATTTTCTGAACCTACGTGTTTTAAGCCTTCACTTTGGTTGAACTTTACCACGTTGTTGTTGTCGCTATAGTGTAACCTGGAGACTGGTTGAAGAAGTTCTTCCTTGTCACCACTGTCTTGGCCGTCATGAGCTGTAGGCTTCTGCCACTTTGTCCTCGCCACGTCCGTGAACAAAGCTCTAGTGACAAGAAAAGACACAGGCGGGTAGGGATCAGACACACCATTCGAGTCCAACAATCCATTTAAATGAGAAGTCAAAGTTACTAAGAAAGCTTAATCTCTTTCTAAACGTTCTTTACAACGAGACATCGGGACGACGTTTATTATATAAATGATGATGATAATGTTACTGATTTTTTTTCTTCTCGAAGGAAGAAATTTGTATTGGTCTTTCGCAATGGAAGTCTTGCAGTGGTGCTACAACAAAGGGCATGTGCATTCACACATACTCACACTTTCATTGTTAAAGTCTTTGTGCATCCCCTCATATAATTTATTATTATAGTTTCTTGTGACCCTAAAATAGTTTGTGATTTACAAGTAATTAATCTTCCATTTTTATTCTGTGGCTTCGAGCACAACATTGCCTTTTTGGTCACACTGATGCGTTTTTGTTTGTTTGTTTGTTGTTGTTTTTTTGGTTTTTTTTTTTTTTTGGGGGGGGGCATGTTGCCGTTCTAAACCTTTCCACTTAAACGTTGCACACGTTAGCGATGGGGATGAAGACTCCTTCCTCTGCCTTAAAGAGGATTGATTTAAAAAATAGTAATATAATATTATTCGAGATAAAAAAGATGAACTTTTGTTTCATCCATTGTTACAGCTCCACAAAAATGGCTATAATGCGGTTGCAATTGAATAGCTTCTCTACTACAGTCAACTCCTTATTGCTTTTGACGTGATGTCAACAGTCACAAACCTCACCTTGCCGACACCTTGGTCATGTGAAAATGGGCGTGCAGGATCTTTATATCGAGCCTACGTAAATTCTTGTTGTGCCTGCTAACCGTTTAGCATTTAACAGTCGATATTCAAGTATCTCCGCAAAACCACCAACGTCACCAAAAAGAGATCGCATAAGAAACGAGACCATATATCTACAAATTGGAATACCACCAGTAATAAGCGTCAAAGAGTCAAATTGTTTGGACATCTAACCAGAATACTCCAGAAATAAATAGCGGCTACAGCTTACAACACCCAAGAATCCGGCTTCAAACCAAGAGGAAAACCAAGAAAGACCTGGCTGGATGGGGTTAAAAAGGTCCTGGAACTACATAAAATATCTATCACAGACGCTACACACCTAGCACAAGACCGAAACGTGCACATCCCCTCGACATCCTAAGGATACAACAGAGAGAGGAAAAAAGTAAAGGTAAAAATAAGTATTCAAGTACCAATTTCTTTTTTCTAGTTCCTCATAATCTTGGTATTTCTCTTTTTTCCCTATCTCTTTTTTTTGGTAAGGGTTTTACGGCGCTCTCAACTGCATAAGGTCACATGAGCGCGCCGGACACACCTAATATTTTCTGTTGGTAGGAAATTTTGAATTTTGCCCGGGTGGCGGCCGAAGCCTACTCTTATCGATTTTAAACCACCAAGGGATCTTTAACGTGCACAACTTGCACACGGGCCTTCCGAGATTTTGCGCCCTTGTCCGAGAAGGCTATGTGTAGATCTTTCCTACCAGAAGATCAGGGGTGTGGCAGAAAGACAGCGGTAAGGAGGAGCCAACGAGTAGCAGTAGAAAGGCTGCAGAAAGAGTCAGGAGCCCAGAGGAGGGGGCAAAGGAGGTGAGAGGGTGGAGGCAGAAAGTGGAAATGAAAGCAGACAACAGAACATTGTAAGAGAGCAGGAAAGGAGGTGAAATGAGACAATTTTAGAGAAGGAAATTTTTCCGTCGCTACCCGGATTCGAACCCGGGACCTTTGAATGAGAGGCCAACACCTTAACCTCTAGGCCACGAGACCCCCCACATAATGGGCTAACCAAAATGCACAGACGGCCTGATTTGAACCTCCATGTCCAATATAAAATGGGGGGGGGGGGGGTGGCGCTACAACCCGAATATCCCGACTCGGATCAAAACTAAGGATTTTATGTTGTAGGCATATTTAGCTTCTTCAGCCTCTCTTCAAACTATTTCATTGATTAACAGCCCCCTAAAGTCTTATTTCTTCCCATACCGGGAATGTTTGTCACCACCGATTCCTTATGAAGTCAATCTTTTATTTTTCTTAATCGCCCGTTTTCTTGAAACGTGTTTTTTCTATATACTTTTAACCATTTTTCATTCAGCCTTCAGTGTTGGTAGTGTTTGGAATGTGGATTTTCGCAGACTTTTTGCAAACGTAAATACTACCTCAGGAAAAAAAAAAAATTTTTTAGTACGTTTTGGAAAAATTCATCTCACCAATTTTTTTAGATCTATTGTTTGCTAAGATGAGTGCAAAAAACCAATTTATTATTATGAAAACTAAGTGCGGTATTAAGTACGTAAAACATGCCAACAAAATCCAATATTGCCGCTGTATCCATGGAAAAGAAACTTTTTTCTCAAATTTGATTTGCGGATTTTAAGACTCCTTACTATGCTTGTTATACGTGTGAAATATGTTAACATTTGATCAATTAATAAACGACTTAGTCTTCAGGTGTAGCCCCCACCCCCTCCCTTAACAGTTTCGTAAGAAAGGCTTTCAGCAAGGTAACTTAACATTTCAAAAACTGTTGATGTGAATGTTCTATATAAATAAAGAAATGTGATTACAAAGCAATATTTTAAAGGTTCCGTCACTGACATTTTAAAAGTTGAAAATGACGCTATATTTTGGTATTCAAGAATCAATTTCAGTAAGATTGCTCAAAAGTTTATACGACTCATTGATTTTTTCTAGATGCACTTATTAAGAAATATAAAATGAAGAAAATTAAATAGACTAACGCGAGTGGTATAGTTTTCAGGTATTTCCTTTCTTGTATGATTTAAAAAAGAAATTAATAAATAAAAGAAAAATACTAAAAGAATGACACAACACAACCACTTGATGGTTGACCCCTTGACCGAAACTATGTGCTTAGTGCGCTCAGTGGTGGGGGAAAACCAGCAGAAAATCCCACATGATCCCCGGTGTTGAGTGCAGAATCAGGTCGAACGAGTCATGTGTACATAGGCTATATATATATATATATATATATATATATATATAATCTTTTTTTATATACAAGGTGATCCCCAAAAACCCCCAATACAACTTGTTTTGTAGATTTCTTCCTCCACACTGCGGTTTTGCGTTTCAGATTTGAACATAATATCTGGAAGCCAAAAAAAATTTGTTTGATATTCATTTTGAATAAGTCCATTGAATGGTTTTGCTCTATATGCCAATTAAAAAAACAACAATACATTTTCAACATTCCACCCCCCCCCCCGCACCCCGGGGCAGTGCTACTGACTGAAGTGTCTTCAGGCCATTCCCAAAGGGTGGATATTAACATGTTTTTATCCACAGTAGAGTATTGTAAACGAGCTGGTTTATCAATGTCATACTCATTCTGTACCGGAACAACATAGGTAAAACTGCTGCTTTTTCTCAAGCGCTCGTCAATTTATTATGTCCATTTGCCTTGTTTTCAATGAAAAAATATCCATTTATCTTGAATACAAGTTGAGTTATTTGAGATTGAAAGCGGTGGAGGTTGCATAGTTTAAGAGGTAAATTTAGCGAGAAAATGGGCACCATTAAATTATTTCCTTAGGTTGAGAGCCCATGAAAACTGAAAATTTACCTCTTTTATGCCTTTAATCAACGTTTTAAAGTAAAATCCACACAGAAACGTGTTCTTTAATGGGCATGAACGGTTTTGAGCCAAAAACCCCACAAAAATTCGATAAAAATTCCCAAACCCGCAGAAAAATGCAAATTTTTTCACTTTCATTATTTGGAGAGCACCCGATTTCACCACGCTGCCTCACATATTTTTATATAAAATATAAAATTTAGTCAATTCTGGTAAACTAAATTTCATAAGCTAGGGCTTCAAACTTAAAATCAGACAGAAAAAGAAGAACAAGAAGAATAATAAGAGCAAGAAGAACAAGAAAAAGAACAAGAAAAAGAAGATGACGACGACGAC